TTTTTAAAAATCGAAACTTTTCAACGTAAACGAATAATAATGATGAAAATAGTATTAAAAGAGTGTCCGAAGCATGGACTTTCTCACGCAAAAAATCGTCAGGTTCGTAGCTCCTTTATCTTCGGAGGAGATAGCTGATATACGGCGAAGCAGCGCGCTTTATACGCAAAAAAGTCATTCTTGACGACGTTCGAGATTCGTTTACTCGAAACGGGTACCGTAAACGAAAAAACGTCTCTCTCGCGTAATTTGTAGCGCTCGCCGAGATGTACGAAACGCGGCACGCGAAATTCCTTTTCTCTTCGGCATAAGGGAGATATCGTAGTTTTCAAGGCGATTCGTCATTTTTGTCGCTTTTTTTTCGAACATTTCTAGAAAAAAAACCGAGACGCGGAACCGAACAGATTTAGCTTATTGGTACGTATTTCTCGTTTAGCTATCGAACGAGACCGATCTCGAGTCGATATTTCGATAAACGGCGAAACGAGTGTGAAATAACGCCGCGTACCGTCCGGAAAACGGTAGATTTTTCGACTTTACCGGCCGTTTTCGATCCGATCCGTTCTCCTCTCGCCCGACGGCTCTCGCCCGCCCGTAAAGCGCCGAGTTTCTAGTTTCCGAAACGGTACCTCCTTCCTTCCGAACGTTTCGCGAACCGGGAAAAAACCGAAAAAACCGCGTCGACGTCGCCCGCCCAAAATTTCTAACGTCACGTGACCTCTTCTTAAAACAATCGATCACCGCTTAATATAGTCGACTAGCGCAGTTTCTGGCATGCTAACGCTATGCCAAATATTGTACGTTGATGTCTTTATTTAAAACCTCACGTAGCGCAGTTGCTGGTATGCTAATGCAATGCTAGCGATAACTATCTCTAATCATTTTTTATCCTTTGGCATCTTTGATCTGGTATCTGGTATCAGGTATCTGGTATCTGGTATCTGGTATCTGGTATCCGGTATCCGGTGTCTGGTATCAGGTATCTGGTGTCTGGTATCTGGTATCTGGTATCCGGTATCCGGTGTCTGGTATTTGGTATCTGGTATCTGATGTCTGGTATCTGGTATCCGGTATCTGGTGTCTGGCATCTGGTATCTGGTATCTGGTGTCTGGTATCTGGTATCTGGTATCTGGAATCTGGTATCTGGTATCCGGTATCTGATGTCTGGTATCTGGTGTCTTATCTGGTATCTGGTATCTGATGTCTGGTGTCTGGTATCTGGTATCTGGTATCCGGTGTCTGGTATCGGTACTGATCTGGTAACAGGTATCTGGTGTCTGGTGTCTGGTGTCTGGTATCTGGTATCTGGTATCTGGTGTCTGGCATCTGGTATCTGGTGTCTGGAATCTGATGTCTGGTATCAGGTATCTGGTATCTGGTATCTGGTATATGGTATCTGGTGTCTGGCATCTGGTATCTGGTATCTGGTATGTGGATCTGGTATCTGGTATCCGGTGTCTGGTGTATGGTGTCTGGCATCTGGTATCTGCTATCTGGTATCTGGTGTCTGGTATCTGGTGTCTGGTATCTGGTTCTGGTATCTGGTGTCTGGTGTCTGGTATCTGGTATCTGGCATCTCGTATTTGGTATCTGGTGTCTGGTATCTGGTATCTGGTATCTGGAATCATATATCTGGTATCTGGTATCTGATGTCTGGTATCTGGTATCTGGTGTCTGGTATCTGGTATCTGGTATTTGGTATCTGTTATCTCTTTATCTGGTATCTGGTTTTGGTGTCTGGTATCTGGTGTCTGGTGTCTGGTATCTGGTATCTCGTATCTGGTATCTGGTATCAGGTATCTGATGTTTGGTATCTGGTATCTGGTGTCTGGTATCTGATGTCTGGTATCTGGTGTCTGGTATCTGGTGTCTGGTATCTGGTGTCTGGTATCTGGTGTCTGGTATCTGGTATTTGGTATCTGTTATCTCTTTATCTGGTATCTGGTTTCTGGTGTCTGGTATCTGGTGTCTGGTATCTGGTGGCTGGTATCTGTATCTCGTATCTGGTGTTTGGTATCTGGTATCTGGTGTCTGGTATCTGGTATCTGGTATTTGGTATCTCGTATCTGGTTTCTGGTGTCTGGTATCTGATGTCTGGTGTCTGGTATCTGGCATCTGGTATCTGGTGTCTGGTATCTGGTGTCTGGTGTCTGGTATCTGGTATCTGGTATCTCGTATCTGGTATCTGGTTTCTGGTGTCTGGTTGTCCTGGTGTCTGGTATTTGATGTCTGGTATCTGGTATCTGGTGTCTGGTATCTGGTATCTGGTATCTGGTGTCTGGTATCTGGTATCTGGTGTCTAGTATCTGGTTTCTGGTATCTGCTATCTGGTATCTGTTATCTTTTATAAGTTATCAGTTTTCATTTATCTATTTTAATTTTTAATTTTTCATTTTTAATTTTCTATTTAATTTTTAATTTTTCGTTTTTCGTTTTTTTATTTTCGATTTTCGATTTTCGATTTCGATTTTCGATTTTTCGATTTTTCGGATTTTCGATTTTTCGATTTTCGATTTTTCGATTTTTCGATTTTTCGATTTTTCGATTTTGTTCGATTTTTCGATTTTCGATTTTTCGATTTTAGATTTTTGATTTTGATTTTTGATTTTTGATTTTTTGATTTTTGATTTTTGATTTTTTGATTTTGATTGTTTGATTTTTGATTTTTGATTTTTTGATTTTGATTTTTGATTTTATAATTTTAATTTTCAATTTTCAATTTTTCATTTTTCATTTTTCATTTTTCATTCTTCAGATTCAGTTTTCATTTTTTAGTTTTCAGGTATCAGTTATTGTTATCTGTTACCTGTTTTCTTTTATCTGTTACTTTTTATCTGTTATCTGTCATCTTTTATCTTTTATCTGTTATATGTTACCACCTGTTACCTGTTACCACCTTTTACCTGTTATCTGTTGTCTGTATCTTCCATATAGCATTGAAAATATCCTGTATACAATTGTATAACAGACTCAGATTTATGTGAGATGCCGGCAACGTCGCATGTGTTGTTGTTAATACCATACATGGCGTTATAAAATCTTCCATGTAACAAATTGTATAGCAGACTTAGATTTATACGAGGATCGTCGCATAAATCTAGCTATAAACACGACTTGCAAAAAAATGGCGCTTGACACTGACATATGTCAACCGTGTTCGTCTATGGATAGCAGTGGACTATGCTTTCTTCAGTGTATATGTTTTCTGTTTTGTAATGTCAATGTCATTGTCATAGGTAATTTTTTCTAACCTGGAAAATGAAATGTATTTTGTTTAAAATTAAAATTCAATAACTCCTATTGTGAGATGTGTGCATCTACAACATAATGAAAGGAAAAATTAAGATTCTGAAAGTTAATTCCTAAATATCATAGTAAGGAAATCCGTAAAACTAAAAAAAAAGTAAACATAAACACCTTGAGAAAACTTCTTCCGTATCAAGTGGTTAAAGTGGAGTTTTAAAACAATTTTTGTTGAAAATAAGGCCGTTAGTTTACAAGCAGGTATGTAACTGAGCGATCCGCTAATGTGTGTGTATCTTGCTTATAAAAAATGCTGTATTTAGATATTGCTATTCACATGAGGTACCGTTCTTTGATAGGATATTTTCAGATTGAACTTTTGTCTTATTTTTACTATTTATTGCAGGAGAACAGTTGTTGAACCAGGTCCTGGTGCATACTTATGTACTTGTCACTTTGTGGATGGGAAAAAAGAAAATAGACCTACATTGTTTAGGTATAATAGGGAGAAGCAATTGAACTTTCCATCGCCAGAAAGAAGAACCCGTAAAAATAACAACAATGTGAAAATTGAACTCTATAATATGTTACTTCAATTGGGCCCTTTTAAGGGATGTATGTAATAATTATGTGATCTGCAGAAATAAAAATAGTTTAGATACAACACATGGCATCATAAATTATTTTAATGTAGAGTTCAATACTCGTATAGGTAACTTTCACTCCCCTGGCAGGCTTAATCTAAGCGATATCACAAATATGTCTATACCAAGTTACGATTATACTGTGCAAGAGTACTTATCTTACAAATTTTGACAAGTAATGGTGTCTGTTGTTTTGACAAGTCTTGGAAGTCACAAGTTCTTAAAGCAGCTACATTCTAAATCGAAGTACATACATTCTGCATTGAGATCAAAATAAACAACTGCAGTGGCTGTGAAAGTCTTAGTAATTTTGAAAACTTTGGTAGTAGATATGATTATCAATGCTATTTTTCAGCGCTTTGCATATTCCTTCATCTGCTTGATAATATTTGCCAATCGAAGGGATAGATGACAAGTTTGTTTACTTATTTTCCATTTATACATACTACTCAGGTGAGATACTACTACTACAAGGTTTTTACAATATTTATGAGTTTGTTGGTGGTAAAGTTCTTCGTTTGGGAAAAATTCAACAGAAGCAGATGAACAATGCTCGCTTTATGATCTGGAGAAAAATGTGCTATCGCTTTAAAATAAAATTTCCTCTATTTTTTTTAATGTTGTATGATTATGATCAATCAATTAGAAACATGACATATAATAATAACATCTCAAAAAATTAGACCAGAAGCTTGAAATTATTAAGTACTATAGTTTGTTGGACAGTAAGTAATAGTATCGCTTGAAAATCAAATTTTGTAATCTGTTTCCTCTGATTCAATAATGATTTTTTTTGTAATCTATGATTAAGATCAGTCTTAGAAACAGGACAGATGTGAGTATCCTTGAAATTAGACATATAATAATAACATCTTTAAAAACAGAATAGAAATTTGAAATCATCAAGTGCTATAGTTTTTTGACAGTAATGGTGTCTGTTGTTTTGACAAGTCTTGGAAGTGACAAGTCCTTAAAGCAGCTACATTCTAAATCGAAGTACATACATTCTGCATTGAGATCAAAATAAACAACTGCAGTGGCTGTGAAAGTCTTAGTAATTTTGAAAACTTTGGTAGTAGACATGATTATCAATGCTATTTTTCAGCGCTTTGCATATTCCTTCATCTGCTTGATAATATTTGCCAATCGAAGGGATAGATGACAAGTTTGTTTACTTATTTTCCATTTATACATACTACTCAGGTGAGATACTACTACTACAAGGTTTTTACAATATTTATGAGTTTGTTGGTGGTAAAGTTCTTCGTTTGGGAAAAATTCAACAGAAGCAGATGAACAATGCTCGCTTTATGATCTGGAGAAAAATGTGCTATCGCCTTAAAATAAAATTTCCTCTATTTTTTTTAATGTTGTATGATTATGATCAATCAATTAGAAACATGACATATAATAATAACATCTCTAAAAATTAGACCAGAAGCTTGAAATTATTAAGTACTATAGTTGTTGGACAGTAAGTAATAGTATCGCTTGAAAATCAAATTTTGTAATCTGTTTCCTCTGATTCAATAATGAATTTTTCTGTAATCTATGATTAAGATCAGTCTTAGAAACAGGACAGATGTGAGTATCCTTGAAATTAGACATATAATAATAACATCTTTAAAAACAGAATAGAAATTTGAAATCATCAAGTGCTATAGTTTTTTGACAAGTAATGGTGTCTGTTGTTTTGACAAGTCTTGGAAGTGACAAGTCCTTAAAGCAGCTACATTCTAAATCGAAGTACATACATTCTGCATTGAGATCAAAATAAACAACTGCAGTGGCTGTGAAAGTCTTAGTAATTTTGAAAACTTTGGTAGTAGATATGATTATCAATGCTATTTTTCAGCGCTTTGCATATTCCTTCATCTGCTTGATAATATGTGCCACTGTTAGCCAGCTAATAGGTCTGAACTGAGGGTCAAGACTGAACTCTTACTGAACTTCATAGAAGTGACTGACTACTTACGTTTGCAATAGAAACACATAAACTGTAAACACTTCACACAACACTTTCACTATTTGTAGCTGCGATTGCTTGTTCTAAGCTTCTAATTAATCCTTATTAACGGGAGCCTCATTATTAAGATTTCGATAATGTTTACATTCATACATTGTAGGTTAGAAATCGGAGGTGATGCAATCAGACATACGCTTTATATCAATCGGTTGGAAAAGCGGAGCTTTATGCCATATTGTAAAATTATAACATGAATAGGGGCTTACAATCATATTTTTATCGTATTTATAAACCGATGATGATTTCAATAAATTGATGAACGTCAAAGAATAATTGCAGCCTTTGGCGGTAGACATCGCAATCTGTAAAAATAAAAAACTACTAGATTCATCCGATTTTAATGGCTCTAGTCCGGTCCGTTTAGACAATGGAATATAGAAATTTTGAATCTTTTCGAAAATGTTGATTTTCACGCGCAAAAAAGGACAATTCTATTTGGCGTGATCCAATATTGGATGAAGCGATAGTCATGAAGCCGAAAATGGCACGTTTTTGACGTTCCGCTCGCACTCGCTCGCTTTCGTAATACGATCGTATCTACAATACCCCGCCTAACAGGAATCCGGGGATCTGGAGGGGAAATTCAAAATTGAAACGTCAAACTAAAAATATCTGCATATCTTTGAATTTTGTAATCTGCCGAGTTTAAAAAATGCGATCGGGTAACGTGTAGTATGTCGGTTTAATCAGGAGACTTTGGTCTGTCGTTTTGCGAAAAAAAATCGTAGCTACGTCGCTCCGTAACGCAGGTCCGTATCGACGAAGACAAAGTACGCCGAAAAACGGTTGTCATCGGTACTTTTGAGGCGCTCAAAGTTTGCTTTTTCGAATTTGACGGTAATTCTGACGGTCAGAATCGTTTCGTCAGCTCATTATCGTTATTTTTCGATAGCTGTATAATTTTTACTCGCTCACGTACGGTAGTAATAAGCGAGGACAGAGCCGGATGACAAGGTGACTTTTTCACGCGTCGAAAAGTAGCGTATTGTCGAGGAATTTTTAAAAATCGAAACTTTTCAACGTAAACGAATAGAGAAACGGATAAGATTGCGATCCCGTATTCGAAGTACGGGCTTTCTTATGCGACAGTCGCCAGGTCCGTATCTTCGTTATCTTCGGAGGAGATAGACCGTGGACGGCGATAAGCGCGTTTCATAAGCACAAAAGTCATTCTTGACGACGTTCGAGGTTCGTTTATTCGAAACGGGTGCCGTAAACGGAAAAAAGTCTCTCCGCGTAATTCGTAGCGCTATTCGAGATGTACGAAACGCGGCGTGCGAAATTACTTTTCTCTTCGGCGTAAAGGAGATATCGAAGTTTATACCGCGACTTGCCGTTTTTCTCGCGTTTTCTTTAACATTTTCTTAAAAAAAAACTAAGACGCGGACCGCGATCAGTTCCGCCCTAAAGTGTGCGCCCGT